GGGAATTGAACTCAGGACCTCTGAAAGAGCAGGCAGTGCTCTTAACCACTGAGCCATCTCTCCAGCCCCCAAAGAAGATTCTTTATTAAACAGTGGTAATAAAGCATATTCTTACCATACAGAAGGGAATCTTAAATCAATGATGCCTACCATTGAGGCTGGTGTGCATGGGAAGTGCACACCCTCAGTGTCTCTGAAGCTCCACCTGCTCATAAGCTTTCAGAAAGGAACCCTATGGAGGTTGGGCAGCCACCTAGGATAGATGTGGAGAGGATAATGATAACATGATGACAGGTAGAGCAAACCCCCTCAGATGAATCAGGAATACTGAAAGATGAAGTTGTTGTTGGGTGGGGTTGGAGAGGAACCCCAGCTTAATGTTGTTCAGGGTGTTTGGTGTCCTTTGACCAGACAGGTCTGGGTTCTAGTGATTTTTGACAGACCTAACTTCAACCTCTGCCGACATTTCCCAGAGGTCTAAGTCTTGCCTAAACTGTAAGAAATACATCCAGCTCTGTTCATACTTGGGGAGAACACCATGCTACCATGAATGTCTCTACATAATCATGTTCGTATATATACTACATAAAGGTATACAAGGTCTGGAATTGAGCCAGACTAGCTATTAGAAGAGTAGGATTTTTGTTCCCTGATCTTGGTATAATATTACAAACCAAGGAGTAGAACAGACACAGCAAACTCCATTGGAACAGGTACAGGGGAGTAACTGAAGAGTGAGTGAGCCGGAGCCAGAGAGCACTTAAGGTCCGGACATAAATCTGGGACCTTCATGGGAGTAAACCTAAGCCAGGCCATGACCCCTGTTTGTCTGGGCGTGAGTCTAGGACCTCCAAGGAAATAGGTCTGAGCCAGGACCTCTGCCACTCTGGGAATGAATCTGGGACCTCTGAGAGAGTAAGCATAACCAGAGATCTCTGCAGGGCCAAGTGTGAGTCGTGGACATCAGAGGGAAAAAAGGCTGATCCAGGACTTCTGTTGCTCTGGGCATTGGTCTGGGACATCAAAGGGAATAGACAGGAAACTGAAACCTCTGTGGTTAGTCCACAATGCAGAGGACTGTAAAGTCCATGTTAGAGATATAGCCCTTTGTGTTTATAGGTTTCATGTACATGAAACATGATGATACTATAGAAAAATAGGACCACGGCAAGGTGCTCCAAGCAGGTGGAAAAGCATTTGCAGGGCCTGCTGGCTTAGAGCACCTTTAGGAAGGTGACCAGGATTGGCATGTCGGAAAGGCAAATTAGGTAATTGAGTAGAGGTAGCAGAACAATGGCATCCACAAGGACAAAGTCATTACTAACTGATGTGTCACCACAGGCCAGCTTCAGCACACCCAGGACCTTGCAGGTGAACTTTCTGAATACTTGGTGGTCATACAAAGACAGTCTCATAACAATGACTGTTTCTGTCAACAACCTGAAGAGATAGAGTACCCATAAGGCTCTTGGAGGCATCATAAAAACCTGTGACTCATGTGCACAGGTACCTGAGGTGCTGACGAATAGCAAGGTAGTGATCACAGGCCGTGATGACAAGCAGCAGGCATTCTGTGGAGCCTGTGGAATGTCTCAGATGCATCTGAATGTCACAGCCATTAGAGAAGATGGTCTTCTGGGATGACAGTAGGTGGAACAGCATGAGAGGCACCAAAGTAGATGTGTAGCAGATTTTCTAAATGGAAATATTACTCAGAAAGTGTATATGGGTGTGTGTAGGCAGGGATCCAACATGCACACAGCCATGAAGGCAGTGTTCCGAGCAGAGTCACCAGGTACATAACTGAGCACAGAGGAAAGAATAGGTCTTCTAGGGACGAGTAGTCAGAAAATTCCTTCAAGATGAATGCAGAGACTTTTGCCCTGATTCTGGGCTACATAATGCAGAGTTATGCCTGGATACACAGTAGAGTGGAAGGACAGAGGATGCAGTGTATTGAGAACACAAAAATTTTTAAGGTCTTTTCCAACATGGATACACATTCTGTGACTTGGGGACAGTCTCCTCATCTTCTGTACATTACATCACATCCATGTGAATAGTGAGGTTAATATCCCTAAGAGGGTATTTAAGGAAGTATGAATAAGCAGAATCACAGAGAGCCAAAGCTGAATGAGAAATAAAGGTGTTTACTGTAGGACTTCTTTTTTTATGTAAATTAACCCATTTATTTGTTGGTTGTGCACTACTGTAGTTAGTAGGCTTGGGTATCAAATGGTAGCACTTTTACTGGTCTTTCAGTTCCTTCAGTCTTCTGATGGCAGACTTCACTGTGACGGCAGAAGTCGTGTTGTAGGTCCAGGCCCCGCCAGCCACTGTCTTCATGCAGGAGCCATAGTGCCCGATGCCAACGGCTCGTCTCTTCATCTTGGTCTTGCCACAGAAGGAGCACGTGTACTTGGCGTGCTGGCTGATTTCAATTTTCTTCACCATTTTCCGGAGGGAGGCACCATAGCGGGTCCCGTATTTCCCAACGATCCCGACCTTCTTGGTGCATTTAGCCATGTCGCCGGAACTTAAACCAAGCACCACTGTAGGACTTCTTGAAACCTCTAAATGGCTAATGTTTATTGAAAGCTCTCCAAAGGCAATGTAGACTATGTACTTCCAAACTTATCTGAACTTACATCCACTTCAACTTCTATCCTATCACAGAGAAATGACCTGCAAACAGCATTTGAGAGCTGGTAGCCTGGATCAGAGGTCCTAAAACTTACACACATACTGGAACTATTTGGAAGACTGTCAAAACACAGTATGTTTTCCTTCCAGAGCAGATGTGTGCTGTTGCTGCTCTGATGCCACAGGGATGAATGTCTCTAAAGGTCCTGTTGACTTTGCTACATCCTCTAAGTCATGGCTTACACTGTTCTCACTATCTGGAATATTTTTCATTTTCCCCTCACCTGTAATAGCTGATCTGCCTCTTCTGGTTCTGTTTGTCACACTGTATGCTTTATATCTCAGGAAGGGACCAGATACTGACCTGTTAACCTGTGAGGAGGCACACCCCCAGAGAGATAATCTCTTAGGTGCTTTGTATGGGCTACAGCTTTAGAAGATGTCTTCTTGTGTTTACATCTCTACTTCAGAATCAGAAATGGTTTTAGAATTAGACAATGTCTATCCTTCTCTAAATCCAAGCATGATGTTAAAAGAAAAATTCAAAACTCTGTCTCATGTCAACAGCCTTCAGGTATGGGACAGAAAGAAGAGCAATTTTAAAGGAACATTTTATGTTCCTTCATACCCATTTTGTCAATCTCTTTTATCTTTCACTGAAAACATGTTTACATGAATAATGCTTATATTTTCAACAAAGAACAGCTTCCAAGAAGAAGACATTGGGGCCCCACAATGTCTCTACCTGGTTGATATGACGGCATGATGCTGATAGCACTATGAGACTGATTTATGGGTACAAGCTGCAGATATGGTGCACCTTCTTGCAACGTTCTGGCCAGAATTCCAAATAAGAACTTCAAAAGAACCCTATCGAATACTCAGAAACCTTGTGCAATTATCCAAAACAATAATCTTGAAATTTAACCATCATTTTACCTTTATAACATCCCATAGAAAGAACATTAGCACCAGGACATCTGGAAGCAATTCTAGAAGATGCCATTCTCTCTCCCAACAAAGTTTGTCTTCACAGTCAGGGACAACATTTAAGAGTTGATTATTACTCATATAGGGTTGAGTGAAATTATGTACACCCAGCGATCTCAATAAGAGGGAAAATGGAATTGGATAATAGGTAGATTACTTACTCACACTAATAATAACAGTTTGTAATAGAAAGAATACTTGTGAACTATTATTTATGGATTTACATTGGTATACACTTTTGTATATTGACACAAATTCTAATTATATTTATTATGTAGAATGTTTCTATTTTTGTTTAGAATATTTGTAACAACTATACAAGGTTATTTTGTCAGATTGTATAAATGCATGATTCTACCTGTCTAAAACATATTTTTATTGACACAATTTTATATTTATCATATTGCATTATATAACTCTACATCTGATCAAGATTTTTATACATTGTTTACATTTTGAGGTCATTGCCCTGCTTTACTGCATAGTTGTTTAAAGATTGTTTTATAGTCTAATATGAACTCTTATCCTTCAACACTGTGATTAGACTTTGGTTGATTGATCAGTCAGTTGCCTCTGTCATCTAATACACTTTTTGGAAGCTGCTAGACTGCACTACCTGCCTACTCAAGTAACATTATTGCTCTTCTCAGGCCTTTGATGGGGTTGAAGATGAGATAATCATACTTACCATCCTCTTATGATCTAGCCAAGCCACTTCTACAACACGGACTCCTTAGGATAAAATGCTTATCAAACCATTAGGATGTATTCCTTCCTTAATATTGATTATGCTTATTGCAATTCTAACTTTATTTTGATATCTGTTTCTTGTGTACATAGTTTTGTATAGGGTTTGGAGTTTCTTATTAAGTTAAATGGGTAGGTGCTGTGAGAGTTCCTTCAGTCAATAGCTTTAAGATATCAAACCACTTGGGCATGGTCTCTTACATTATAAATGAATTCGTGAAGTGTGTGGTTGCTTTCTTGAATCCAGCTCTTCATTCTGGATGCTAGCTATATTGTATATAAGATCCATTGCTTTGTAGGTGCTCATCTGACCTATAAAAGCCCAAGATATTCTTACACTCTAACTTGGTGTTTACAAAAGTCAAAGATTCAATTAGTACTCACATAGTTCAGGGTCTGTCACTCAGATTTGTACAGCCTTCAAAATTCATCATTAAAACATGAACTTGGTGTTACATGATGAACTTAGAATGCAGCTATATTAAGTAAACTCAAGCAATTCTGTCTCATGTGTTTGTATGTGTGATTATAGGTTTGGGAAGATGGGGAGATATGGTACAAATCTTTAATTTTCTTTTGATAAATGTGTAGATTGTTTTTAATTAAATATCATAAATCAGTTTGCCTTAGCAAGAGGAAGTATTTTATTCAGCTACAAAATTAAGCAAAATTCCATATTTCAGTTATTCGTTTTATACTATCACTTTATATAATTCACCCATGGACAGCTGTGTATCAAGGATTTTTTTAATTGTTTTTATTCAACTATATATTTATCCACTACTCTCCTTTCCTTTTCCCTCCCCTTCTCCCATGATTCACATGTTCCAAATTTACTAAGGTCTTGTCTTTCTCTATGTCCTATGTAGAATAGATTTATGTATGTCTCTGTTGTTTCCTCTTTGTTGTATATGTTCTGGGCATTGTGAATTGTAGGCTGACTGTCCTCTGTTTTATGTCTAAAAGCCACTTAGGAGTGAGTACATATAGTTTTCTTTCTGGTTCTGGGTTAACTCACTCTTTTATATTTTCTAGATCATAAATTTGCACCTAAATTTCAAGATGCAATTGTTTTTATCCACTGTGTAGTACTCCATTGTGTTAATATACCACAATTTCTTTGTCCATTCTTCAGTGGAGGGGTTGTTTTCAGGTTCTGGCTCTGACAATGTTGCTGTGAACACAGTTGAGCATTTGTCCTTGTGGTATGATTGAGCATCCATTGAGTACATATCCAAAGGGCATGACTGGGTTTTAAGATAAGTTGTTTCCTAATTTTCTTTCATTCCTTTTTTTTAAGTTTTGGTTTTCCAAGACAAGGTTTGTCTTTAGCTTTGTAGCCTGTCCTGGAACTAGCTCTTGTAGACCAGGTTGGCTTTGAAGTCACAGAGATCTATTTCTGCCTCCCAAGCGCAGGTATTAAAGCCATGCCTCACAACCAGACAGGTGGCTACCTAATTTTCTACGGAATAACCATACTGATATCCAAAGTAGCTGACTCAGTTTGTAACCCCATCAGCAATGGAGGAGTGTTCCCTTAACTCCACATCCTCTCCAGCTTAAATTGTCATCAGTGTTTTGATCTTGCCTATTGTTACAGATGTAAGAGGAATATCAGATTTGTTTTAATTTTTATTTCTCTAATGACTAAGTAGTTTGGAAATTTCCTTAAGTGTCTCTCGCTCATTTTAGATTCATATGCTAAAAGTTTTTTATTTAGGTCTGTACTCCATTTTTATTGGAGTATTCTGTTTTTTGATACCAGTTATTTAAGTTCTTTGTATGTTCTGAAGATCAGTCTTCTGTCCAATGTGAGGTAGGTGAATATCTTTTCCCATACTACAGAAAAATTTTTTTTTGTATTGTTGATCATGTCCTTTGTTTTACAGAAACTTTTGCTTCAGGAGATCTCATTTATTATTTTTCTCAGTGTCTGTGATGCCTGGGGTTATAATTTGAAAGTGGTCCTCTTTACCAATGTGTTCAAGTGTACTTCCAATATTCTGTTTTATGTAGTTCAGTGTGTTTGTCTTTATGTTGTAGTCTTTGATCCATTGGGACTTGAGTTTTGTTCATGATGATAGATGTGGATCTACTTTCATTCTCTCCCACACTGATATTCAGTTAAGCCAGCACCACTTGTTAAATATGTTTTCTCCATTTTATAGTTTTTGGTGCTTTGTCAAAAATCACGAGTGGATTGATATCTGGGTCTTAGAATCAGTTCCATTAGTCCTCCTATCTGTTTTTGTGCCAACACCAGGCTCTCTTCAGTACTGTAGCTCTGTAGTCATCTGAAGTCATGAAATATGATGCCTCCAGAAATTATTTTTTATGTAGGATTGTTTTGGCTATCCTGCATTTTTTTTGGCTTTTCTATATGAAGTTGATTGTTTTTATTTTGAGATCTCTGGAGAATTTTTCTGATATTTACATGGGAATGGTATTGAGCCTTTAGACTGCTATGTTGATTTCTAATTAACAAGGGCAAGGGACATCTTCCCATTCTCTGGTGTCTTCTTTAAGGATTTAATATTCTTTTCCTACAGTCCTTTCACTTCTCTAGTTGGCAATTCCATAATATTTTATATTTGTGGCTACTGTTAAGGGTAATGTTACTATCATTTATTACTTCAAGACATCTTTCTTTTTCAGAAAATATTCCTTGTAACCACCTTCTATCTACCTTCCTGATGACCACTCCCAATCTTCTGATAACCATAATTATACCCCCAACTTCTAAGGTTACTTTTATACAAAATATACAAGTAAACATATGGGAGGTTTGACTCTTCATGCCTCTCAAATTTCAGTTAATGGTATCCTTTGAGCTTAAAAAAAATTGTTGAAACTTTTTAGGATTTTATGGTTCTGGTTTGAGAGCCAAATTGTGTTTCTTTCACTGGGCCTTTTTAATGTTTTGGCTATTTTCAGGGAGTTGTTGTTTCATTATCCAGTTCTAGATTCAGAGACAAAGTTCTTTCCTTTGGCTCTGGTTTGAAGACCAAAGTTGGAACACCCTTCCTGTAACCAATAAGGTTTTATCCATTACTTTGCTGATTCAAACTAAAATAAAGAGAGGTATAATGATGCATAAACAAGTTGTTGACATTATGAAACTTTTTTCTACACAATAACTGATTTTGATTAACTGACTGTAAGTGGCTTAACATCTGAAAGAACAATTTAAAATAAGCCACCAGTTTTTTCCTGAGGTCCAAAAGATTATGATAATATGCACAAGCTTTCTCAGATGACTACACACAAAGTCTTACTCTTCTGTGAAGCACAAAACATTATGACACTGAATTCATTTATAGAGTTTCATTACAGTAAGATTTTTTTTCTCATGTTTTTGAAAAATACACAAATTAACTTCAGAGTTTCTCTACAAAAGGGCTCATATAATGTATTTGGAGATGACTGTGAAAAAAATTAGCACATTCCATTCACAGGTATCTCTAGAGTATGTTACATTTTAAGCCTTATAAGAGTACAGGGGTCTGCAAAGGCCTTATCACACAGATATCATTCCTAGGGTTTCTCTCCAGTATGTGTTCTTCTATGCATTTGAAGAGTACCATGTTGTGCAAAGGCCTTACCACACTGATTACATTCATAGGGTTTTTCTCCAGTATGTGTTCTTTTATGGCTTTGAAGATTACTGTGGTATGCAAAGGCCTTACTGCACTGATTACATTCATAGTGTTTATCTCCAGTATTTGTTCTTTTATGGGTTTGAAGACTACTCTGAGCTGCAAAGGCCTTACCACACTGATTCCATTTATAAGGTTTCTCTCCAGTATGTGTTCTTTTATGCAATTGAAGATGATTATGATGTGCAAAGGCCTTACAACACTGATTACAATCATATGGTTTTTCTCCAGTTTGTATTCTTTTATGTGTTTGAAAAACAGTACATTGAGCAATGGGTTTACCACATTGATTATATTCATAGGGTGTCTCTCTAGTATATATTCTTTTAATCTTTTGAAGATGACTGTGATCAGCAAAGACCTTACCATGCAGATTACATTCATATGATTTCTCTCCAGTATGTGTTCGTTTATGACTTTGATGAGTATCATAAAGAAAGTCTTTATCATCTTGAGCATATTCATTGGGTTTCTCTCCGGTGTGTGTTCTTTTATGCAATTCAAGATGATTGTGATAAGAAAAAACTTCATCACATTGCTGAATTTCACAGCATTTTTCTCTGCTATTTATTTTTTCATTCCTTAGAAGATGAGTGTTATAAGACAAGTCTTTACCACAGTGAGAATATACTGAAAACTTCTCTCCAGTTTGATTTCTTTCAATCCTGCAAGGATAATTTACACATGTAAAAGCTTTACCACATTCAATGCAGTTGAACCTCATACTTATATGAATTAATTTCATGTTTTTCCAAATTGTAAAAAGGAATCAAATATCAAGGTTTTATAGCTTTGTTTAAAATCATGTTTTGTTCTCTCATTAGGTGTCATTTATATCTAGAAAAATATTTGTGATGAAAAATTCCATTGTGTCACTGTTTATCTTTCCATCTATAAGTATACCTATATTTTTCTAGGATATTTTTTACATTTTTAAAGAAAACTGCGTATACTGAGTGCTTTACCAAATTTACTCCATTCATAATTTTACTATATTGTGAATCATTATACATTTGGTAAGTGAACTAAGACACCCAGAAGTATTTACATAGACCTAGAACTCATGTTTGTTTGTTTTGGTTGTAATGTGAGTTTGTATTTATGTATTAACCATGATGATAGAAAATAAATTAACTTTGTATTTGCGGATCAAATTAAACATGTACACTCTACATAGGAACTAGAGTTTATCTTCTTAATTGTTCTTAAGGAGAGGTATGCTAAATCTTTCCATATTCCTATGCTCATACACTTGTGTCAAGAGTGACATGTCATATATATATGAAAAAATAATAGTGTATAAAAGATTTCCACAATGAATCCACAAAGTTCTAATTTCACAGACTTGTGGTATAGATATTAAGGTTTTTCCACATCAACTGCCCCTTGACCCTTCATTAATCTGATTTCACTAAACTTAGCACATTCACAAAAAGTCTATGAGTGATACAAGGCTTACCATGGGCTATTGTATTAGTAGAAAGTTTTGCAGCTATACTCATCATCACTGAAATAGGTATACATTTTCTGTCATGAATAGCAAGAAGCAAATGAAGCTGCAGTTCTACAACATAGCTCTCATGGTGCTATGAATCAAATGGTGATATCTGTTTAGGCATTGCTACCTAGACTTTTTCTTAAATGAAGGCTTTGCAGATGCAATTCACATACATGAAATTGAGATATATGGATTTGTGAGAACTTAATAACCATCAATACCTTTAAAGCTGTGCTTATTTACACTGTTGCTTTTGTTTTAAAGCTCCAGAACACATTACAAACTATTCAAAAGAAATTGTTATGATCTTGCCCAAGAAAATTACCTTGCATGTCTTCTAGAACATTGACAATGCTCTCCAGTGTTAAGGTCTTCCCAAATGTATCCTAAAATATAGTACCAGAATATCTATGTTATATTATTTAATAATGTGCAACAATTAGCTTATTATCTTAAGTGCACCTAAGAACTGTGACTGTGTTTGTTATTTACCTCATTCTACTTTCTCTAAAACAAATTACAGAACAAAATCATAAACCAAGGAAAAGTTTCTCCATATTTTGAAACATGAAAGAAATTGATTTTCACCTATAGTAGTTAGGTTCCTATATGTCTCCAACATCACATCTTTGAAGAGATTCTTCTGGGAAGGATTCAGTAAATCCCACTCTTCCTTAGTGAAGTTGATGTGCACATCATCATAGGTCACTGCCTTCAAAAATATACCATACATGAGTACAATGTAAGTATGACAGTGAAATGCATACTTCTTTGAAAATATAGGTTTATGATTCTGGTGTTCCCCATTCTTGTTCCATGACATAGACAGTCACTTTAGAAGGAAATTGAAAAGGAAAAACTATTCTGTTGTTTCTGTGCCCTTTGTATAGGATACCACCTTATAAGAGCAGTATCTATTCATGGGGAGAGAAAAAGAGAAAAGATCAACAGGACTTTGTATGCATGAGAAAAATTCCATATTTTACAGCTCTTTGAAGTGGTTGAAGATTACCTATCTATGCAAAATATATTCTTTATGTGTGTAAAAAACCTGATTATTCTAACTATAAGTATCACAAGCATAGATAACTATTGAACTATAATTCTAATACCTATATAAGTTAAAGGCTAAGACTTCATATTAGAATATTGTACAATAAACAACAATGGGCTCAAAATGTAACCAATGAATAAGTATCTTGATCAGTGGAAGAAATGTACACTGCAATTTGATAAATATATTTACCAATATATAAAATGTTTTAAGAAGAGGTAGGAGCGTGAATGAATACAATATTCAATATTTAACATTATATCAATATACAAAAATCTATATCAAAGCAATTGCCTATAAATTATAACTCAGAAGCATTCACTCTATTACTCACTATTATTATTAATGTATGTAAACTCACACTATCTTATTCCATCCAATTTTCCTTTTTTTAAAAGAAATCCCTGAGCCCATAAAATTTCCCTTCTAACCCGCAAACCTATACTAATTATAATCAACCCCTAAATGATGTCCCTAACCCTAGGACAAACTTTGTTGGGAGAGGGGATGTAGTCTTTTAGAATTTCTTCCAGCTGTCATGGGGGCAATGTTCTTTCTATGGGATCCTGAGAAAGTAAAATGATGGTTAAGGTCCAAGATTACTGTCTGGTATAATTGCAAATAGTCTCTGAGTATTTTGTAAAGTTTTTCTGAGCTTCCTCTTATAAGGTCTGTCCACAACATTGTAAAAAGTGGACCATTTCAGCTAACCAAGTTGAACCATCCTGAGCAGCTGGAGACAAAGCCCGTCTGGTAGTAGCACTGTCACCATCATGTCATCACAGCACCCAGGTTGAGTTGTTGTTGTGGGGCCCCAACTTCTTCCTGAAAACTTCAGAAATTAATGCAGGAAAATTCATTGTTCATTGTGGACAACTTAAACATTATTTATACAGTCATATACAGACATATATATCCAATGACATGTACAACAGAGACAAAAATAGAAATGGAGAAAAGAGAAAAATTTTCTAAATTCTTTTTTCTTTCTGTCCCATGCTCCTGACTTGAGAGAGAAACTCTGAATTTTTATTTTAATGACATGCTTGGATTTATAGAGGGACAGAGCCAGTGTCCATCTCCAAAACCAGCTCTGTATGTTCATAAATATACATCCACTGACAAATGGCACCCAATGAAATGATAGGATAAAAGTGTAGATTACTGAATCTAAAAAGAATAAAGGGGCATATATGTGTATGATGTAAAAGTGTAGATCATTAAAATTAATTTTAAAAAGTAACTACTTATTTATATATTTTACATTGATATAGATATGGATGCTCCCGTTTGATATAAACTTGACATTTGATTAAAAGATACTGTCTGTGATTTTTAAATTCTTACTCAAACTATTTTATCTAATTCAACTCACTTAAACATGTAATGAAAATTTCTAGTCCTTGAAAGTTATTATTATAAACCAATTAGGATATAAAGTACTGCATGTTAGTACTTTGTTATTTATTACAATTGA